TGGCCCAGGATCGGACATTGTTTCGTTCTGCTGTGCATGGGGTCACTATGAGTCAGTTCCGACTCGATGGCACCTGACAACAACAACAACAATGTTTGGTTTTAAAAACAGCAAAATGCAAATGTCAAGAGTCACCAGGCCTCTAGATTGATGCAGCAGCAGCTACACTCAAATAGTGCTCATCTAGAAGACTGGATTTCAGTAAACATAAGATTTCTTTTGTTTGTAACCTATGCTGTGTTTGCATTTACCAAAATAAAATAAGTACAGTGACGTAATAGAAGAAAAAAATTCTAGGCAAATGCATTATTCCTTTTTCTGCCAGTATTTTTACCAACTGGTGGCTGTTAGGCTGTTAGAATAAATAGGGTTTCCTTTTAATGTTAAAATTGCATTTCTTTCCAACACTAGAGTTACAAGTATCCTAAAAACTGCATGGAATTTGGAAAATACTTTTGGGTCTCAGAATCTAATACACGCTAAAAGTTTATTATAGACTCCCATAAGTTTTAGTTTATGAGGGTTATCTCTGGCAATAGTTAACATAGAAAAAATAAACAGATTTTAAATATTATTTATTAATGCTCTTAAAAATATCAATAGTGAAATCATTAGTTGCCATAGTTAACATATTTTATGGAAAATAACTATTTCCAAAACAAAAACGTAATGAAAATTTGTTTTGTATTTTATAAATCTCTTTAACAGCTGCTTTACTAGTAGACAGTGAGAGTCTTGCATCTACTTCTGCATTCAACCTACTGTGTGATATTGTTTTCATTTAAATTTATGAAGAAATCCCATCCTCACACAGCTGCATAATTGGAAGATGGGGTGTTTTAAATAGCCTTTTCAGATACCGGTGGCTGTTCAGTCTTCTTTGGTGCTACGTTAAAACTTGACAAGTGGTAGATTATTAAAGGTTAGTTGCAGTGTGGAATCTGAAATCCAATCGCATTAAAACTCATTAGTTTATCTTACAATTTGGATCTTTTACCCATGCATGATTTTGTAACATCATGTTTGGTCATTTGGAAAATATTTGGTTCACTGCGATCTTGTAGATCTTCCAAATGTTGATTCATTTCATTTTATAGTATCAAAACTCATATTTGTTAATATGATCATCAGTTTCATAATAAAACATTTTTAAAGATTGAGAAATTGTCAAGCTTAGGATAGTGAATAAAAGTTCTCCAAAATTCTGTTACTTGGAAGCTCCAGTTTTATCACTGGCAACAAATAATGCTGGTTATTTTCCTTGAAATGGTAGGCTCACATCATTCTTTTTTTTTTTAAATGGTAATGCTTTAGGATAAGCAGTGGACTTCTAACTGTAAAGTCTGCAGTTCAAACCCACCAGCTACTGCATGGGAGAAAGATGAAATTATCTGTTCCCATAATGATTTACAGCCTCCAAACCCCTGTATGTTTTTGTTGTTGTTGTTAGGTACCATCGAGTCGGTACTGACCCATAGCAACCTTATGCACAGCAGAACAAAACACTGCCCGATCCTGGGCCAACCTCACTACTGTTGCCACGCTTGAGTCCATAGATGATGCCACTTGACCAATCCATCTCATTGGGGGTCTTCCTCTTTTTCTGTAACCCTCCACCTTACCAAACACGATATCCTTCTCCAGCTACTGGTCCCTCCTGACAATATGTCCGAAGTATGAGTTATGGTGTTGGAGGAGAATATTGAAAGTGCCATGGGCTGCCAAAAGAATCAATAGATCCATTGTGGAAGAAGTGCAGCCAGAGTGCTCCGTAGAGGCCAAGATGGCCAAGCTTCATCTCTCATACTTCAGACAAAACCCTGTATAGGGTCGCTGTAAATCAGAAGTGACTCAATGGCAATAGAGGGAGGTGGTCAGTCCAATACCCAAGTCCTGGCGTGGTGCTGTGGGATAATGCACTGGACTGCAAGGTCCTTTTGAACTGCAAGGTCAGAGGTTCAAATTCACCAGCCACTCCTCGGAAATCCTATATAGGGTCGCTGTGAGTCAGAACTGATGCAACAACACTAACAACAACAATAACAAATGACCATAGTTTGTCTCTTTCAAGTCTAAATAGTGTTCCTTGAAAAAATCGACTAGATTTCCGAGCAGCTGAGTAATACCAGTACTTTTCCTCGAGACAACCATTGTAGTCTGTGCAGTAGCAGTGCTTTATTGTGGATTACCCATTTTATCAAGGAGCCCTTGGCAAAATCAGCTGCTGTCTGAAAGATTGACCGGTGGTTAGAACCCACCAGCTGCTCTGCAGGAGAAAGATGTGGTTTCAACTTCCCTAAAGATTACAGCTTTGGAAACTGAATGGGGCAGTTAGTTCTGCTCTGCCCCAAAGGTCTCTGTAAGTCGGGATCAACTCGATGGCAAGGAGTTTACCCATTTCATCAACCACAGGATACTAAAATAGATATACTCATGGCATGTGATTTAAGTAAATTATCCATTCTCAGATCCATTTTTTTAATGAAACTATGCTGGGGGTAGAATGAGCAGTTGCCACTAAAGAATGGTATCTGCTGGAACAGATACATTCAGCTGCCTTGATCCCTGCTAAGGGGCCAGGAGTCTTACCCACCATTGCTTTTATAAAGCAAATAATGTCTTATATTATTATAAAAATAATTTTTTCTCTCAGGGACTCCCTGAGGGATTTGGCAACCCATGGTGGTTTGTGGTCAAACTTTGAGAAGCAATGCATTGGAAAATACTTAAAGTTGTTTCCTTGTACAATTCAAAAATATCAAAGGCTCAGCCAGTTCCACAAAGCTCTGAAGGAATTATCAGGTTGGAGTTTCTGGATAAACTGTAAGATCTGGAAGCTTCAATATCAAGATATATGACTAACCACCTATTTGTATAAATAATTTTTCTTAATTCGTTCTATAATCTTTTTCCGAGATTAATTGACTTCTGGTACATTGAACTCCAAGGATTGCTTTTATGTGTAAATTTGGTTTTTGAGAATCATTTTGTGGGTTTCTTTCTTAAATTGGGGGTTATTTCTTGAAAACCAAATTCCATTGGCATAATTTATATTTATGCTTCAAATTAATTCCCAAACTTTTAAATTCAAACATCTAGTTATAGTATTTAGTAGATATTACATTCATGGTAATTAGTGAGTAGCTGTAAGTGGTTAAATTAAAACCTACCCATTATGTCATGGAGTCCTGGTGTGGTGCTGTGGGTTAATGCACTAGACTGCAAAGTCAGTTTGAACTGCAAGTTTGGTGGTTCAAGCTCATCAGTCACTCCTTGGAAACCCTCTAGAGGGTGGCTATGGGTCGGGAACCGACTCAACGGCATTTAACAACAACAACATTATGTCATTCCCTTAATACAGTTTTTTTATTATTTAAAAATTTAAATAGCCAATTTGTTTTAAAAAAAGTTTGTTAAATATGTTGTTGTTAAGTGTCATCGAGTTGGTTCAAAACATAGTGACCCTGTATAGGGTTTCCAAGGAGTGGCTGGTAGGTTAGCAGTCAAGTGCTTATCCTTGTTATAGAAAAGGGATCCCTTGTTATAGAAAAGGGAAAAATTCCCTGGATCTCAGATCCTAACACAATCACTACTGCCTTTAGTGTGTAAAGGGGCTTTAAAAAGTTCACAAAAAAAGGGAATTGAAAGAGAATGAAATTTTTCCAAAAACTTTTTGAAGCCCTTCATTTCTTTTTCAGATGTTTATTTAAATGTTTATAGATTTTCCTAAAAATCTTACTGTATACGTATAAATGGTTATATAGCTAACTTTTTCCCAGTGACCTGGATGGATTTTTACTATCAAGATGATAATGATAAATTATTATTTTAAATAATTCCATCAAGTAAATTTTTGTCTTACTGTACATCTAGGATACTTTTTGGGGGGGGGTTCCCATAAATACCTTTATGCTAATAGCTTTTTCCATGGTTTTGATTATTTCCTTAAGATATTCCAAATTGAACTATGGACAAGGAGTGTGGACTCTGACATATACTGCCAGTTTGCGTCTACAAAATGTAACTTATTTATGTAATTGCACAAAAGAACCAATTTCACTGCCTCATTGTCATTATTGAGTACTACTGTTGCATTCTGATTTTTCTATGATCTTATTGTCAAGCTTAAAAAGTTGTCATTTTGAAGATGTTAATAATGAATTTTACTCTCATATTAATTGCTAGTAATTAGATTAAAATATTAAATAGCCTATTTTTTTTTTTCTTTCCTACAAACTCTTTTCTCAACTTCTAGCATTTTCCATGTGTTGGTTCTTAATCTAATTATTGTGGGAGCTGGAGTGATCATGGCCTGCTTCTACCCAAACATAGGAGGAATCATAAGGTACTACCTGTAAGACAATTGTGCCCCTACATTTATTGGGCTTTATTTTTAGGCTTGTCATGTTGTTTTAATTTAATTGTATGAAATTCCTGTTCATTTTTTAAACTGTTAGCATTCAGTGTAGCTCCCTGGTATCAGTGAAGGTCCTCATTATCTTCCATTTCTGCTTATCCCTACTGGAGATTAAACTTTCTAAGCCCCTTTATCTCTTAGCTATAAATTTTTCTCTTTCTTTTCCTCTTAGTCTTCCACTGTGTTTTGTTTTGCTTTTTTCTTTATCAAAATGAAAAGGTTGTTTTACATATGTACTATACAACTTCTTGTGGGCACCTGGAAGTTCCTTACATTTCAAGACTGTGTCCTAACTTCCCCTAAACCATTTCTACTCAAGAACACATTCCATTGTCAAGTATAGTCAGAAAGTATAAGTTTAACTTATGATAGAGTGACAATAAAATTAGTGGTCTCCTTAGAATGATCTCCTTAACCTGTTGAAGGCAGGGCTGAATCACTTTTTTGAATTATCTTACCTAAGAAAGTAAGGAGTTCTGGTAGCATAGAGGTTACGAGTCGGGCTGCTAATCTCAAGGTCAGCAGTTTGAAACTACCAGCAGTTTTCTCATGGGAGACAGATGATGCGTATGCTCCCGTAAAGATTTACAGCTTTGGAAACTCTACAGGCTTACTATGAGTCGGAACTGACTCCATGGTACATAACCACCACCACCTGCTAAAGTAGCAAGAAGTAAGAAGGGAGATTATTAGCCTTGTGTTTATTGCACATAGCAGATTTACAAGTTCCTATTAAACCGATCCTCAAGAGAACCGAAGTATAGGGAAAAGGAAGCGAGCACAGGCTTCTCTGTTATGATCCCAAGTGTAGGTGCTTCGGTTATTATCTTTTGGTAATTATGTGGAACCTCCACTTAGATACGCATCTGTTCTCATTCTTTAACACATGCTAACAGTCCCTCAGAAACTCAGAATGCATAATTTGTTTATAAAAGATCAAAGATAGGAAGTCTGTCTCCGCATGTTTGTGAGGAAGTGGCCACAATCACTGAGACACAGAGAAAATATGGAGATTTGAGGATGAATAGAAAAATTCTTTGTCAAGCAGCGGATGCTATAAAGATGAACAGGAAGTCCTATTTTATATTAACTTATATAGCAAGCAAAATAAATTTTAAACCCAAGTGCTTTTGGTCAAAAACAAATGAATCAAAAATAATTTTGTTGCAGTATCAGACTGAGAAGGGGTTAAATTGCTTGTAGCGTAGTGGTTAGAAATCAGGCTACTAACCTTTTGAACTGCCAACCGGCAGTTCAAAACTACCAGCAGATCCATGAGAGAACAATGAGGCTTTCTGCTCCCGTAAAGATTTAAAGCCTCAAAAACCCTATGCAGGGTCACTATGAGTCGGAACTGACTCCAGGTACTTAACAACAACATACATACCGTAATTGTAAATCAGAAACAAAAACAAAAGGTTACTATTAACACAGAAAGTCTCTGTTTTGCAGATACTCAGGAGCAGCATGCGGCCTGGCCTTTGTATTCATATATCCATCTCTCATCTATATCATTTCCCTCTACCAAGAAGAGCGTCTGACGTGGCCTAAGTTAATCTTTCACACAATCATCATCATTCTGGGCCTGGCTAACCTGACTGTTCAGTTTTTTATGTAAAATTTTCAACTGTTTTTTCAAGATCTTTCCTGGTATTTGAACTTTGACAACAGTTCTACATAAATTCACTTGTAAATGCTGTTGTTGCTGTAATTCTAAATGTTTACCTACGATCATTGGAAAACAAGGGGAATAGTGATCCATTGATCCACATTTTGATTAAGTTAAGGAAAGGCGCAATAAGAATGAACTCAGTCTCTTCACCTTTCTCACGTTCACTTATTTGTTCATTCTCTTTTTATTTTTCTGAATAGAAATGTGGGTCCTAGGAAAAAATATGCTAGCTTATGCTTTTGGAGATTTAAGGTGGTTGGGTTTATTTTGGCTACAATAAAGATTCTCAGGGTATCACAGCACCATATTGCCAGATCCTGTGTCTGTTTGATGTTCTATTGTATTGACTTGTATTTAATAATGTACTTGAATGCTTTAACACAGGGAAAACTGAGTTTTGCCCATTTAATGATGAATAGGACAACAAATGAATTATTTCCTAAATGGAAAAGCAAGGTGGATCTTTGCTTATATTTTCTTGATTATTTAGAACCTTCAGAATCCTTTATTCGCCTTCTGCTGAATGACTTTACCTTCTGGGGTTTCTTTCCATGACTTGATCAGAGAACCCTTTGGATATGAGTGTGTATCTCCTGACTCACACATTACAGAGATATGAACTCATTTCAGATCACATCACTGTTAATTTTAGACTTTCTTTCCTCTCTTGCCATCCCTGAATTTTCTGATTTTTTTTTTTTTCTTTTTCTTTCTTGGCTTTGATGTGGTTAAACCTTAGTTGCTTTGAATTTAGCTTATTTAGCACACAGCTGAGGCTATTAGAAAGCCTCTGGGTGCTAATACCAAATCAGGAAGGATAAACAAAATGTAATTATGTTTAATGTCTATGGATGATCATCCAAATTCTATTTCATCAACACTCCCAGAAAAATATATTTGGAGTAGGAAATAAATCTATCAATTAACAAGGGACTACAGTAAAGGAGCTCTGGTAGTGTAGTGCTTATGAATCGGGCTGCGTACCTTAAGGTCAGCAGTTCGAAACTACCACAGGAGAAAGATGAGGCTTTCTGCTTCCGTAAAGATTTACAGCCTCGGAAACCCTGCACAGGGTCGCTATGAGTCAGAAGTGACTCCACGGCACATGACCACCAACCACCACAATACAGGAGGTCTGGTAGCGTAGTGGTTACAAATTGATGTGCTAATCTCACGGTCAGCAGTTCAAAACTACCAGCTGTTCCTCAAGAGGTTTTCAGCTCCTGTAAAGATTTATAGCCTCGGAAATCTACCCTGTACAGGGTCGCTATGAGTTGGAACTGACTCCACAGCACATAACAACAACAACAACATTAAAGAGAAATACTTTTCACTTATCTACATGACTAGGTTTCAAAGAGTAGGTTGTTATGTAAAAATCAGCCCATGCAAAAATGACAGGTGATCACCCCAGATCACAAAATGCAGGATGACTCCATCATTGCATAACTGCCAAACCACTGAGAATCATGGCCAGCTGAGCTGACACACAACCGTAGCCGTCACAGCCAGAGATATCTGGCCTCTCACCTCCATGCTTATTACTACCATTCAGACATCATAAATGCATAGATGAGTCAGATGATAGGGTTCTTACCAGTTGTATATGGGAACTGTTGGATAAAGAGATCACTGATAAGTGAAGAGTTGCGTGCATTCATTTTGTTTACATTAAGTATCCTTAACAAATACAATGTAATGTTGTTGTTGTTAAGTACCGTGGAGTTAGTTCCGACTCATAGCAATCCTGTACAGGGTTTTCAAGGCTGTAAATCTTTACGGGAGCAGAACACCTCATCTTTCTCCCATGGAACAGCTGGTAGTTTAGAACTGCTGACCTTGAGGTTGACAGCCCAACTCGTAACCACTATGCTACCAGAGCTCCTTATGTAATGGTAGCTATTAAATGTGGAAGTAGAATTTCTGTTTCAACATGGAGTTCATTTAGAGAAATTTTGATTCATGTTTTGATTTGTTCATACATAATTGTGTAAACTGTAATGTTCAGTGCTTTGGAAGAGACCTCAGTCATATCCTAAAGGAACTCTTAATTGGGTAAAGGAAGCACATGCATAGTTAAGTATAATTTGTTGTTGTTGTTAGGTGCCATCGAGTCAGTACCGATGGCAGTATATTATGAAGACTGAGAGAGAGGAGCATAAAGAAGCTGCTCCCTTCCAGGTGAGAGCCTCAGGGAAAGCTGAGAAAGCTGGTAAAGCAACCTGAGAGGTAAAGAGGCAAGGACCCATTTACTAGACTCCTAATAACAGAGTCCTGGTGTGGTGCTGTGAATTAATGCACCAGACTATAAAGGTGTTTGAACTGTAAGTTTGGCAGTTCAAGCTCACCATTCGCTCCTTGGAAACCCTGTACAAAGTCACTATGGGTCAGAACCACCTCGACAACACTTAACAACAAATAATGATCTAAAATGTTAGCTATTTGGTATTTTGTTGTTAAGTGCCGTTGAGTCAGCTCCAACCCATAGCAACCCTGAATAGGATTTCCAAGGTATTTGGTATACTCACTGTCAAATTGAATTGCATTAAATAATTGTCTTTATTTTGGTAAGTTTCCTCTAAGATAAGCTTTATGAGATGTCTTTAACTGCTTTTGTATACTATTTATTGTTTTCTTTGTATTGTAATGCACATTGTACTCACGTGTGAATCTTGGGCAGCAAAGCACAATTGATGAATAGAGGAAATAATCACATATTGGACTGTACAAACAGAAAGATTCTGTAATATATTTTCTCCGAAGACTCAGCTTCTTTAAATATTAGTGTTTAAAATGTCAAATTCCTGAGCTCATTGGCAAGAGCAGAAAATTTGGTGCTACATGTTTTCCTTACAAAGCACTGACCTATTGCTTTTTAGAATCCAGTGTTATTGTTTTGTTTTGTATTTTCAACTCAGTTTCCTCCCAGTTTGAATGTCCAGAACCAAGTCCATATCCAATTGACATCTAAACAATAGAATGTTACATTGGTTTGTGATCCAAAGTGAAATTATCCCCTCCATATGCACACAATCTGGCCTGGCTGGCACGAGTTTTACCGTTGACGGCCGCCCTCACTTCAGATTATGTAAACACATATTGCAAAACAGCTCTGACGGGAACCTCATAACCTAAACAGTATTCTCTGAAATGTAATTTGTTGTCTTTTTATATAATAGAAGAAATTAAATCAAAATTATTTTGAAGAAAAACAACCCTTGGATTTTGGTTAATTGCATTTTGTTGGGAAATGCTATTGCCTAGTAGCACTGACCTTAGGGTAGGAAGAAGCTGGGTTCCATCCTTTGTAGGGTAAAACGTCTCAAGTGACTTTGTGCTTGTGTCTCCCATCGAGCCCCAAAGAGCCCTCCCTAGTGTTGTGATCCTAGAAAAAAGCATCTGGCACATTATGTTAAAGTCCACCCAAAGTAAACTGTTATGATTTCGCCCTCAACATTTTAGAATGAATGTGATATTTCAGGTTATTGTAGCCCAGTTTCTGGCAAACAGATTGACATCATAATCTTTCATTTAAATCAATAAATAGCTCTAATGGTGCTATAGGATAAACACTGAACCATAAGGTTGTTTAAACCACAAAGTTGGTGGTTCAAATCCATCAACTACTTCTTGGAAACCCTATACAAGGTTGCTATGAGTCAGAACAAACTTGACGGCACTTAACAACAACAACAATAAGCACTGGACTGCTAACCACAAGGTCGGCAGTTCAAACCCACCGGTCGCTCCTTAGAAATTCATACAGGGTTGCTATGAGTCAAAATTGACTCAGTGGTACTTAACAACAACAACGTAAACTCACTCGTTTTACAGTGGGGTGGGGGACTGTGTGTGATCTTTTTTTAAATTTCTCAACTCTTCTACAAAAATGAGATAGATATCTTTTTGAATATTAAACACTTCTCCATTCTCCCTACTGATATCAGACCTGGGAAAGGAATGGGAAAGAACTCACATGCTCTAGAATTTTCCTCCTTTGGTGCTCTCTGGATTTCCAGTGATCCAGTTACTTTTGGACAGAATAGGTTCTCAGTATACACTTGTTTAATCAATCCACTAAACTAGGCAGTATTCTACTTTAATGGTAAAACATAAATTGCTTGTATCTAGAATCTTACTCCATACCCCAAAAACCAAAGCAGAAATGGGTTAGTTGAGTCCAGAGTTGTTTAACAATCAGTATTTCTGTACTTACTAGATGCCATGCGCTGTGCTAAGCACTGAGCATTGGTGGTCAACAAACCAGACATGATCCTTGCCGTTTGACATCATCTACCTACCCTCCTGAGTACTAGCAGTGGGCCATTTTCCCTAGGTTCCACTCAAGTGCCAGCCATTCGCTCTTTTCTGCTACCCTGTCTCTGTTGAATGTATGGTAGTGATGTAGCCATGGCCCAGGCATGTTATGCAGCAATGAATATAGGATGGAGGGGCATAAAATAGGACTTTGTAAAATGAACCATACTTAAGATAAAACTTTGTAGGGAGCCCTGGTGTGGTGCTGTAGAATGAGTACTGGACTGGTAACCACAAAGTCGACAGTAACTCTTGGAAACCCTAGACAGGGTTTCTATGAGTAGGAACAGATTCGACGGCACTTAACAACAAGAAGGATCATTATAATTTTGAAATTATGTGAACAAAAACTGGAAGGGGTCACAGAAGAATGAACGTAAGTAATCTGTTGAGATGATGGGATCATAGATAAATAATTGGAGTTTTTATTATTTGCATCATATTTATTTTAATGTCTAGAATAAAGTCATGGGAAAGGAAAACATGTAGAAATGTATTTATACTTACTCCATGAAATAAAGAAGCTGCATGCAAAGACACTTTGTGATAGGTGAGAGTGATCCTTAGTTGTAGGGGCATATTTTGTGACACCTGAAGCTTGTATAATGTGGGGTCTTCTCTTTAAGGAAATCATACAAAATTAGATCAAAATTAGGAAGGAGCCCATACAAGTGAGAGACCCTGGGTTTAGCTGTAGGTTTAAGGTAAATTTAGCTTTGGTTTTAAGTTAAATCACCAATAGACCACTCCCTGAGGAATACTTTAAAAGACTGAAGGAGAAATAATGAACTAAAGTTTCAACACCGATACCTCCTTGTTTAGCTGTTCAAGTATCCTGTTTGATATTTCAAGCTTTGAGTTTCACCAATTAGAAAGCAAAAGATTTTAAATGACTTTTTTACTAGTAAAGTTGAACTTTTTGCTTTGTTTTATTGAGGGATCATTTACATACCACAAAACACCAGCTGCTCCTCAGAAACCCTGTACAGGGTCACTATGAGTCAGAACCGACTCAATGGCACTGAAAAACAAC